AGCCATTATTCACAAATGGCAAAAACATGGAACAGTGGAGAACCTTCCCAGGAGTGGCCGGCCGACCAAAATTACCCCAAGAGCACAGCGACGACTCATCCACGAGGTCACAAAAGACCCCACAACAACATCCAAAGAACTGCAGGCCTCACTTGCCTTAGTTAAGGTCAGTGTTCATGACTCCACCTTAAGAAAGAGACTGGGCAAAAATGGTTTGCATGGCAGAGTTCCAAGACGAAAACTGCTGCTGAGCAAAAAGAACATAAAGGCTTGTCTCAGTTTTGCCAGAAAACATCTTGATGATCCCCAAGACTTTTGGGAAAATACTCTGTGGACTGACGAGACAAAAGTTGAACTTTTTGGAAGGTGTGTGTCCCATTACGTCTGGCGTAAAAGTAACACTGCATTTCAGAAAAAGAACATCATACCAACAGTAAAATATGGTGGTGGTAGTGTGATGGTCTGGGGCTGTTTTGCTGCTTCAGGACCTGGAAGACTTGCTGTGATAAATGGAACCATGAATTCTGCTGTTTACCAAAAAATCCTGAAGGAGAATGTCCGGCCATCTGTTCGTGACCTCAAGCTGAAGCGAACTTGGGTTCTGCAGCAGGACAATGAGCCAAAACACACCAGCAAGTCCACCTCTGAATGGCTGAAGAAAAACAAACTGAAGACTTTGGAGTAGCCTAATCAAAGTCCTCACCTGAATCCTATTGAGATGCTGTGGCATGAAAAGGTGGTTCATGCTCGAAAACCCTCCAATGTGGCTGAATTACGAAGAAAAACAAACTGAAGACTTTGGAGTAGCCTAATCAAAGTCCTGACCTGAATCCTATTGAGATGCTGTGGCATGAAAAGGCGGTTCATGCTCGAAAACCCTCCAATGTGGCTGAATTACAACAATTCTGCATAGATGAGTGGACCACAATTCCTCCACAGCGCTGTAACAGACTCATTGCAAGTTATCGCAAACGCTTGATTGCAGTTGTTGCTGCTAAGGGTGGGTGTGACAAACATGCAAAAAAATAATAAATCAGGAAGGGGGCCAACACTTTTTCACACCACTGTAGGTCTAACAGTAGGGTTAAGATATTGAACTTTTTTTGTTTTTACCAATTATCCAAATAATGTTTAATCCTAGAAAGCTATTATTATCAGAGGTCACGTGAGCATAATGGTTAGCAGATTAATGAATGAGAGGGCAGCGTTACCAGAGTTGCCCATTTACCACACCATGTTACAACACAGTAGGGCTATTGCA